ATGAATTTAGCAACTTGGTTCAAAAGGCTGATCAATTCAGTGCTTAATTATGTCACAAATTCAGATTTCAGAGAAGTAATTAGGTCAATCTCTTATACCAACAATTTATATGAGTCTTGTGCCTCCTTAAAATTTAGCTAATCTATGATTTGCTCATCACAGATTGTCATCTATGCTATCTCCTAATACAATGTAAATTTGAATTTGAAGTGTGAAAAATTCCTTCTATCCACTGGACAGTTTATAATACTATCAGAAAATTAAGCACTGGAGACATGAAAGCTGAGGGGAAAAAAAGACAAAAACAAAACATGCTTTTTTCATTTTTGAGGCTTTTCCCACCAAAATTGAAAATAAAATAAAAAATATTTCTAATACATTTAATATTTTCTTTTAAAATTATATATAAATAGGTTGAGATGTGGAAGAAATGGGTCTATGTTTGAAAATTCCTGCACCAAACCAAGAAATTAACATGTGAAAAAATAAAAAAAATGTCAATACAGGCAACCCTCCAGTAGTCATGAAAACAGTAAAAATCAAAATCAGGAAGAGACACTGTGGATGAGGATATAAGTCAGATTCAGAAAACGAAGTACTGATCACTGACATTTGACAAAATGTATATTCTGAGACTAGGCTTCCCCCTATTTTTTGTTTTATCGGGTTTTCAGTGGAAATTCTTTGCTTGCTTGAATCTCCTAAGCAGAAAAATTGAACAGAAGTCATATTCTTTAGAGCCCAACTACTTGCACTTCCATATACAACAAACATTAAATGCATTAAAAGTAATTTCAAGTCAATCTATAGTTGAGTGTAAAACCGTATTGTTTTTACTGATCACATACTTTTTAAAGCATACCAAAATGTACCTTTTAACATATTTTATAATGTAATGAAGTGGTTTTAGATCTATAAAGGACAATAAAAATGACTGCATGTGTATCTTTTCCCTAAGCATCAATTTCCAAAATCCCTCATGCTGCTTCAAAATTTCAAAAAAGCTTGCATTTCTTATTAACCCGGAAGCTATTTCTCTCCTTCCCCACATTACTGCATAAGCAATGGTTTAATCACAGCTGAGGCCAATTCATTAGTTCATCTAATATTTTTCATTCATCTGTAGGTGCTAGGAAGAGCAAGCACCTGTGTTTCATGAGTTTGTTTCAAGAAAATAACAAGTCATAGTCTTTTGCTCCACACCTGAAAAAACGAACTACTGTTTTGAGGTACACAAGTGGAGCATTGATATGCCTTTTTTTTTTAATTCCCACCTTGGCCAGTATGATAGCTAGTTTTGGTTGTGCTAGTCTCTGGGGTAGAATATGGGGAAATAGGAGGAGCAGCAGAATCCAGAGGTCTACGAGTTGCTGAGCTACAGAGTCACCTGCTCTCAGCAATCCCCCATCACCCCAAACCAGCTCAACTGCATGGCTTCTGTGTTTTAAAGTGGTTTAGTGGGGTGTTGGTAGGAGGAAGAGAAGAATACATTGGTTCTACTGAGGTTTTGGCATCTATGCACTCTGTGTGTGGTCTTATGCTTTCCTGATGTTAAATATAGGGGACACCTAAGGGACTGAAAACACTGCTGCTTTGGCTGCTGATCTGTACTGTGGTGTTCTGCCAATGAGCCGCTAGTGAGTGCATTTATTTTAATCCTGGTATTAAGAAGATGGGTAGGTTATGATGGTTTCCCTTGCTATGTTACTGGACACAAATCATTAGGGATATACAAAACTGTGTGGTGCATTTCAAGAACATTCTGGTATTTCCTGGAACAACCCACCCCTCCTTCCCAAAAGAATGTACCATCTAGACATTTTAAGATGGATTTTTCAGAATTGAATTTTCCAGAAAGGCGGCAGTTTCTGGATATCATCCAGTCCTGAAATCTCTAGAACAATGCAATCTGGGGAAAAAAACAGGGAAAGTTTTGCAAATGGATCATACAGCTGGTTTTTCACATAACTGTTTCTCATGCCTTTAGCAACACCAGCAACTTTTTCGTATGCAGCCTTATGTAATGGTTGAAAAATATGAAAGCGATCCCACAGCAGAGCCTATCGAAGCTGAAGGTGTCAACCGTCTATTGAAGAACATGAAAGGACTCACTTTTTGTCCAATGTGTTTAGTTCTGTTTTATTCCTACTTTAGATTTGCTTGTTTATTATTTTTCTTAATTGTTCCTTTTGTCAAACTTTCTGCAAGTTGGCTGGTCAATAGCAATCAATTAGCTCTAGAATGTAAAACAAGGAAGTAAACAATTCATAGTGCGTTCCTATTGTTTCATATGGCTGTAATGCTCAGTATGTTTCAGGTTTTGTTCAAGCTGTTTTCATTCTTCTTCCACTGTGGCACAGCAAACTATTTGTTCAAATGTGAAATAAAATATGGTTTCCATTTTGTGCATATCTCCAGTAGTAGTTCCAACTTTAAAGAAAATACTACAGTCTGACCAAAACGATACTCCCTCCACCAATCAAAATAAAAGAAGATATCTATCCAGAAATCTTGCAAGCTGGAGATAGAAAAACAAAATTATCCTTCCTTTTCCAGAATGTGCAGCCAGCATGAAAAACCAATATATGGGGGATTTAGTCAGGAGGACTAAAACAGGTTATGCTCTATATTAGGGAAATGTGAGATGAACCTC